TTGGGAGGAGGAGGAGGAGGAAGGAGGAGGGAAGGGGGGGGAGGCAGCGCCACGTTTCCCCCCCTTCGCTTTACCCCTCCAGCCGCCCTCGAAAAGGCTGCTGGGCCGGCGGAGGGGGGGTGCACCCTGGGGTCCCCCCCCCCCCCCTTGGCGGGGGGAGGGAGCCACCTCTCGCTTCGCACTTTCGCTTCTCCTTTCTCACGGCCGCAGCCTCTTGCACAACCTCCTTGTGTACAGCCCAGCGGCGTGATGGGCACCCCCGGGCCAGCCACTAATCTTGGGGGGGGGGCATCCCATGGGCACCCCCCGACCTGAGCAGGGCACCCCTTAGCGTTGGCCGTCCCTCCTGGCTGCGACCACCCCGGATGTTCTTGGGGTTTTACCCCCAAAACCTGGTCCCTTGGGGAGTGGGAGACAGCCTGGGGTCCTGGGAGCTGGGGACGGTGGCCAGGACAGCGCTGCGGGACCTTCAGGGTCCTGGTCACCATCCCCAGCCCCCAGGACAAGGTTTGGCCGGCCCTGAATTTCGGAGAAAAGAGGATGGGTGGTGGTAAAAGAGGGTGGACAGTGCTGGTAGCCACGTCCAGCATCACTCGGCTGGAGCTTGCCCTCAGATTCCCATCGGATCCGGGGTGCCCCAGCTCACTACGGAGACACCCTCCCTGGGGACGGGGAGGGGCACTGCCCATGGGGACCCTGCGGTGGGCACATCCCAGGCTCAGAAATCCCCCCTCCCCTTTCCCCATCCTGGGCTCGTGCCCACAGGGAGCATCAGGATCCTGGGAGCGGGATGGGGGCGACTCCTCGTTACAGAGCTGTGGTTTAATCCCAACTCCCCGGGCACTAATTTCCATCCCCTACTCTCCCCCCTTCGCCCCCCCACCAACTTTTTTTTCTTTTTTTTTTTTCTTTTTTTTGGAAGTGTTTCAGGTTCTGGCAGCGAGCTCTGGACGTCGCTGTGAGCGATGGCTCCCGCGGGCTCCGTCCCGGTAATTTATGGGGCTGAGCTGTATAAATCACGGCAGCGAACGGCTCCCAGACAGCTGCCTCCCCCCGGGGCCGGCCGGGACCCCGGGCTGCCCCAGCTACCTGCTGAGTGACGCCGAGCCCCGGGGGCAGCGACCGAGGAAGCGGGGAGGGGGTGAATGGAAAAACCTTCACCTTTTCCACCTTCTTTTGCAGCATCTCTCCCATTCCCAGCCTCTCCTGGGAGCAGAGGGATGGGTCGGTGCCCTCAGGGGGTTGGGGCAGGTGGAGGGGGGGTTGGATCCACTCTCATCCCTCCATCCTTCTGCCCTGCTCTGCCTTCTGGAGGGACCCTAAGGTGAACCCCAGCCTCAGGAGGCTTCCACGGCCACATCCTGCACCCAAAACCTGGTCGGGGACTCCCTGGGGACCTGTGGCACATGCTGGGTCCCGAGGGACGGGGGTGGCCGGGGTGCGGGGCCGCAGGCAGAGCCAGCGCCGGCGACCGGGAGCGCGCAGGGAAAGGGGCATTTTTCGCCTCAATGTGCTGAGCAGATTGGAACCAGCTCTGGTTAAGTCATTGGCTCTGTTGGGAGGTCTGAGCTGGAGCGTCTCCCGCCTGTGCCCCCTCCCCACGATCAATCAAAGTTGCAGCAAATTAGCCCAGATGCTGGGAGATTCGGTTCAAATCCAGCTGTGGTTTGGATCGCGTTCGCATGCCTGGCTTCATGTGGGACCTGGGCTTTTTGGACAGGATACAGCCCCCCGGTCTCCGCAGGGCCCTGTTTCCCAGCGCAGCCTCTCCCCAAAGCCCACACACATGTCTTCGATTACGGCGTGTTGGCCAGCCGGGCCGCATCCGGCACCGCCAGGAGCCTGCAGCCCCCGCTGGCAGCTCGCACTTCATTTTCCTGGCAGTGCCGAGGTACGGCAGCCCCCTGCGCCCGCCCGCCCCAGCCCTTCTGCTCACAGGGGGATGCGTGTCCCCATTCCTGTGCCGGGCTGAGGCCAGGAAAACTCATGACAGGGCTGAGGTGTTCCTGGCCGGGCGCAGACCGGCACTGCCCACCCCCTGCCCTGCTCCTGGAGTGAGGCAGGGCCATGGGGGTGCCTGCACTGAGCCCTGCCTGCTGCACAGCGGGGCTGGGCTGGGGGCAACCATGGGATCCTGCTGGGTGCTCCTGAGGTGCTTGGTGCACCCCTGCAGGGTGGCAGGAAGAGTAGAGCCCCCCCCGGTATGACACAGCCCCCCACCAGCCCATGGCTGCTGGGAGCAATGCTGGTGTGGGCAAGGGAATCCTTTGGGGGGTGGTGGTGGGATGGGTGGGGGGACCTTTCCTTGTGGGGTGATGCTTGATGGGGCAGTGGGAACCCTTCCTTGTGGGGTGATGCTCAGGTGGGTGAGGAGAACCTCTCTGTGGAGTGATATTTGATAGGGCAAGGGGACCTTTTCCTTGTGGGGTGATGCCGTGGTGGGCGATGGGACCCCTTCCTAAGCGAGGTGATGCTCAGGCAGCTGAGGGACCCTTCCTTATGGGGTGATGTTTGGATGGATGAGGGGACCTTACCCACAGGGCAATGTTTGGTGGGGCAGTGGGACCCCTTCCTTGTGGGGTGATGTTCAGGTGCGTGAGGGACAGAATCACACAGCAGTTGAGGTTGGGAGGGACCTCAGGAGGTCATCATCCGACCCTTGGCTCATGCAGGGCCACCCAGAGCCAGCTGCCCAGGACCATGCCCAGAGGGCTTTTGGCTACCTCCAAGGATGGTGACTCCCCCACCTCCCCGTCAGCCTGTTCCAGTGCTCCCCTCAGAGTGAAGGAGTGTTTCCTGGTGTTCAGAGAGGAGCCCTGGGGTTCAGTCTGTGCCCGTTGCCCCTGGTCCTGGCACTGGGCACCACAGAGCCTGGCCGTGTCCTCTCTGCACCCTCCCTCCAGGTGTACGTACACATTGAGAAGGTCCCCTGAGCCTTCTCCAGGCAGAGCAGTCTCGGATCTTTCAGCGTCTCCTCACAGGACAGAAGCTCCAGTTCTTTCATCTTCTTTACCAGACTCTCACCAGCATGTCCAGGTCTCTCTCGTACTGGGGAGCCCAGTGCCAGACCCAGCACTCCAGGAGTGGCCTCCCCAGCGCTGAGCAGAGGGGAAGGATCCTCTCCCTCGTTCTGCTGCCAAAGTTCCTCCTAACGCAGCCCAGGACACCCTTTCCCTCTTTTGCCCCAGGGGTG